CCTCCCAGCAGAGGGGCTCCAGCCCTCCCAGCATCTCCGTGGCCTCCTCTGGCCCCACTCCAACCTGGCCATTCTCTGTCAGCCATCTGAAGATGCTTCATTCTGTACTACTGTTGTATCTTTGCCCCGTTGACTACTTCTGGTGGCTTATGAGGCTTCTGAGATTCAGAAGTTTGGATCTATGTGACGGGCTGCCGTCCTGTTTGCAAATGGAAATTGTCCAACTTCAGCCCTGGGTTCCTGCTGGGCTGCGCTCTGGCCCCGCTCCAACCTGGCCGTTCTCTGTCAGCCACCTGGAGATGCTTCATTCTCTACTACTCTTGTATCTTTGCCCCGTTGACAACTTCTGGTGGCTTATGAGGCTGGAAAATTGCATTCAGAAGTTTGGATCTATGTGACGAGCTGCTGTCCTGTTTGCAGATGGAAATTGTCCAACTTCAGCCCTGGGTTCCTGCTGGGTTGGCCGAGTTGGGCTACAAGGGAATCATCTGGACCCTGCAGCTCGTGGTGGATGGTCCTGACCTTCTCTCCTTCCCCTTTTCTCTCTCTCTTATGTTTTTTTTAGGTTGGGGACCATAAATTCAGCGCTCACCGCATCGTGCTGGCGGCTTCGATCCCGTACTTCCACGCCATGTTCACCAACGACATGATGGAGTGCAAGCAGGACGAGATCGTCATGCAGGGGATGGACCCCAGGTAACGACCCAAACCACGAGGGCATCTGGAGGGGACCACAAACAGCCCTCAGGATTGCATGTGCAAGGCTTGAAAGCCCTCCCCTCCATCTGAAGAGCACTAAAAAAGGGTTTTCTCTCAGCAGGATCTCACGCTGCCTTGAATTCAGTGGATTTTCTGCCCTTTTTCCCCCTTTTTTTAGTGCACTTGAGGCTCTCATCAACTTTGCCTACAACGGTCACCTGGCCATAGATCAGCAGAACGTCCAGTCCCTGCTGATGGGGGCGAGTTTCCTTCAGCTGCAGAACATCAAAGATGCTTGTTGCACTTTCCTCCGAGAGAGGTAAGGGCCTTGGTTTTTTTGGCTGTGCTCTCTCCTCCCTGACAGCAGCGAGGTTTTAGTCATCTGCGTCTGGTTTTGGAGGAAGTGGGATGTCTCTGGAGCCATCAGGAGCTCGGCATCTCCCAAGAGTCACCATTCTCATCGCCTAGAAAATAACTTATTTGGTTTATGAGGTGCTTCAGCTGAGATATGGCCTCAGCCAGCCATGAAAATTAATACCTAGAGCAAAATGGAGTGAATTTCTTGCGGCGTGATATTAAACATACCTACCAAATACAGGCAACATCTCAGCCAGTTATTTTTCTTCTAAATAGAGGTGTTCTAAAACTGGGGAGAAAATGATGTTTTTCTTCCGTGTTGAAGACGTCTCAATTTGCAGTCCCCTGAGTTTCTGCAGTTTGTTTAAAATTAGGTTGTGTAAGACAACGGAGTATTCATTTTTCCTGAAAAAAAAAAACAACACCATTTTATTTGAGGTACTGGATGTGACACTGAGCTGGAAAGAGCTGGATTGAGTTCATTTTCTATTTTTTTCAGTCCCTGCCAGATTTAGGTAGTTATGTCCACGTCTAGATTAAGTGAGATGATTTGGTTTGTCGGGTTTAGGTTCCACAGTTCTCCAAATGCTACCAGGAGCAACTGTGGGTGTCCTAAATAAGGTCCCTGTCACTTTTGATAAATAATAATGAGAAAATTGGTGGACTCTGACCTCCCTGAAGAGCTGGAACGTGTGCGATGAGCTCTCATTCTTAATTCTATTTAAGATTTGGGGTATTTTTAGGCCGGATGGGTCTGCAGTGCTGTAACTGAGCCCTGAGAGCCATCCTGGTGTGACAGTCCCCTGCCATCAGGGCTGTGGATTTGCTCCTCGGGGCAATAACTGAGGGTTCTTGCCCCAAAGCAGACAGAAGAGATGTCACATCCTCACATGCATCAGCCAGCAGCTGAGCCTGGCTTTTGCAGGCCCTTAGACATATCAGAGCCCAAGGTATTTTCTCCACAAACATCACATTGAGTTTAATATCCCATGAAAAGTGCCACAAAACAACCCAACTGTTGGCTTTTGTTGAACAGTGAGATGCTTGTACTGGGCAGGGCTTCTTGTTTGGACAGGAGTGTCCAGGACACATACCTGCTTCCGTAGAGCTCATGATTATAATAAATACCATCTTCTCCAGCTTATGATTGTAATAAAGACCATCTTCTCATGCCACAGAGCAGCTTTATGCAGTGGCTGTTTGGCTGTCTTGGGATTCCAGAGGAACTGGGATCTACAGCGGTGCTTCCAGCTGTCAAACCTCCAGTTGCCACAGCATCTTTGGTGATAAAGCCTCCGTGATCTCAGGAAATGTTTCCAAAGCTGTAACAGATGCTGTTCTGTAGTAGTTTACAAGGTGGAAGATGAAAAAGGAAGGCTGATGGTTGGTACTGGCACAATGTGGTTGAATCCAGCTTTGTCTAATACTGGAGTTAAAAAGAAAGAAGGTCTAGGGGGAGATTTTTAACTTGTGGTTTCCATCCTTTGGCTCTGCTGTGGATTCATCATCAGATCCCCATGTAGATACGTTTCTCAGTGAGCTGGAACCTGCCATCGTTGAAGAAGACACATCTGGGGCTTTCACTGCATCATGTATCCTCTGAGACTTGTGTTGCTTCACTCAATCTCCTTGTAATTATTTCTATCCTTCCATTAAATTGACTTTTGCTCTCCTTTCCCCCTTTTTTTTAGACTTCACCCCAAGAACTGTCTGGGCGTGCGGCAGTTTGCGGAGACCATGATGTGTGCAGTGCTCTACGACGCTGCCAACAGCTTCATTCACCAGCACTTTGTGGAGGTGTCCATGTCCGAGGAGTTCCTGGCGCTGCCTTTCGACGACGTCCTGGAGCTCGTTTCCAGGGACGAGCTCAACGTGAAGTCTGAAGAGCAGGTTTGTACCTGGCGTGTAGGTCTTGGTAGAGGTCACTTCTCCTTGGGGGGGCTTCTGCTTCCTTGGGATTGGAATGGGATATAACCCTGTTCCTGGTCCGAACGAAGCTGAGATGCCCTGGCACAGTGTGGGGAACACTAAGAGGTGGTAGGACAGAGCTGTGATGACTCCCTGAGTCCCACTTCTTGTCTGTGCTGCCAACGTTACCTCGCTCTGAGAAACACCTGGTAGAGTTTCTCGGACCTTAGAGTTTGCAAACCAGTGTTTTGATTCATTGGTGATGGAGGTAGAACCTTGATGGGTCCTGAGCACCTTCAGCTGTGTCCCTTATTGTCAAGAAGTGCTAGTCCTGGGGATGGAAGGCCGAAGGTTTGGGCAGGAGGAGGGAGCCCTTCCTCACAGAGATCACATTCAAGTGCTTTTAAGGTGTAAAGAACCTGCTGCGGGTGCTGCGGCATTTCATAACGAATATTCCTCTGAATTTGCCATCATGAGTCCCACTTCTTGTCTGTGCTGCCAACGTTACCTCGCTCTGAGAAACACCTGGTAGAGTTTCTTGGACCTTAGAGTTTGCAAACCAGTATTTTGATTCATTGGTGACGGAGGTAGAACCTTGATGGGTCCTGAGGACCTTCAGCTGTGTCCCTTATTGTCAAGAAGTGCTAGTCCTGGGGATGGAAGGCCGAAGGTTTGGGCAGGAGGAGGGAGCTCTTCCTCACAGAGATCACATTCAAGTGCTTTTAAGGTGTAAAGAACCTGCTGCGGGTGCTGCGGCATTTCATAACGAATATTCCTCTGAATTTGCCATCAAGAACCTCCTTTAGACTGTCTTGCTCCTAGGAAAAAAAAAGAAACCAAACCAGAAAGCAGAGCTGAGCTACTTTAGGAATGTTTCAACAAGCTCCTTTTGTAATCTGGAATCATCCAACCCAGGGCAGATGAACTGTCCTTTGAAGGACAGCCTTCTCTTCTCCAGGCTGAACCCCCCCAACTCTATGAGTGTGTCTTCTAAGCCACGCAAGCACCACACAACAGGAGACTCCTCTGGTGCAATATAAAACATCACCACAGAATCACAGAATCTTCTAGGTTGGAAGGGACCTTAAAGATCATCTTGTCCAACCGTCAACCTCACTGACAAAAATAGACACCCACACAACAAACAAGGAGCATCATCACTAAACCAGACCTCCCAGCACTACATCAACCCGGCTTTTGAACACCTTCAGGGATGGGGCCTCAACCCCCTCCCTGGGCAGCCCATTCCAATGGCTGAGAACCCTTTCAGTGAAAAAATGTTTCCTAATATCCAGCCTGAACCTCCCCTGGGGCAACTTGAGGCCATTTCCTCTCGTCCTGTCGCCTGTGACTTGAGAGAAGAGACCAACCCCCAGCTCTCTACACCCTCCTTTCAGGTAGTTGTAGAGAGCAATAAGGTCTCCCGTCAGCCTCCTCTTCTCCAGGCTGAATAACCCCAGTTCCCTCAGCCTCTCCTCATAAGACTTATTCTCCAGACCCCTCACAATCTGGCCCCTCACCATTCTGGCCTGAAACAAAGTTGTCACCTGAGATCAGGGGAAGATCATTGTCAATATGTGGTTTCCTTTCCATCAGGCAACTGGCAGCAGTAGGTACTTGTGAGGAAAAAGCCCCAACACAACCCAATCCCAAACCTCCAGATTTCCATGCCTTTCTTCTGCAGGTGTTTGAAGCTGCCTTAGCCTGGATACGGTATGACCGAGACCAGAGAGAGTCGTTCCTTCCCGAGCTCCTGTCCAAAATCCGCCTGCCCCTCTGCCGACCTCAGTTCCTCACCGACCGCGTGCAACAAGACGACCTGGTCCGTTGCTGCCACAAATGCAGGTGAGTCTTGGAAGTGGGGTTATAAAAAAAATCACCCAGGGGATCATAGAATCATAGAATCATTGAGGTTGGAAGAGACCCTTGGGATCATCGAGTCCAACCATCTCCCCTACTCTACAAAGTCCTCCCCTACACCATGTCCCTCAGCACTGCATCTAAACGGCCCTTAAACACAGCCAGGGATGGGGACTCCCCCCCCTCCCTGGGCAGCCTGTTCCAATGCCCGACCACTCTTTGGGTGAAAAATTCCTTCCTAATGTTCAGTCTAAACCTCCCCTGTTGGAGCTTGAAGCCGTTCCCTCTCGTTCTATTGTTAATTACCTGTGAGAAGAGACCAGCACCAACCTCTCTACAGTGTCCTTTCATGAAGTTGTAGAGAGTGATGAGGTCTCCCCTCAGCCTCCTCTTCCTCATACTGAACAGCCCCAGCTCCTTCAGCCGCTCTTCATATGATTTGTCTTCTAGGCCCTTCACTAGTTTTGTTGGGATGGTGGTCCTCAGTGGGGTGGAGGGAGCAGAAATGGGGTTTAGCAGTTTTGGAGACTGGAATTCTCTTTTTCTGTGGACAGAACATCTGAAATAGCAAAAAAAAACCAAAAAAAAACCCAAACCTCAAAGCATCTTCCCCAATTTTAACCTGGCAGCAACCAAACCCCAAAGCATCTTCCTCAATTTTAACCTGTCAGCAGGTTGCTTTCTAGAGTTATTGGCCATGGGAGGGGGAACATCAGTTGGTGGCCCAGGTTACGCAGAGAAGCTGTGGCTGCCCCATCCCTGGAGGGGTTCAAGGGCAGGTTGGAAGGGGCTTGGAGCAACCTGGTGTGGTGGGAGGTGTCCCTGCCCAGGGCAGGTGGTTGGAACTCCATGATCTTTAAGGTCCCTTCCAACCTAAACCATTCTATGAAATTTTCATCCGACTTAAGACAGATTGCGTCGTGTTGAGTGAGGTCTTTAATTATTTGGCTTTGATTTCAGGGATCTAGTTGATGAGGCAAAAGACTATCACCTCATGCCAGAGCGGCGGAATTTTCATCTGACTTAAGACAGACAGATTGCGGCGTGTTGAGTGAGGTCTTTAATTATTTGGCTTTGATTTCAGGGATCTAGTTGATGAGGCAAAAGACTATCACCTCATGCCGGAGCGGCGGCCGCACCTCCCGGCGTTCAAGACGCGTCCTCGGTGCTGTACGTCCATCGCGGGCTTGATTTACGCCGTTGGAGGACTCAACTCAGCAGGTACCTTGCATATCCGCCCCCCGCAGTGGAGAACGCGGCCTAGTTTGCTGGGGAGGACGAGGGGATGGTGAACTTCCCTCACGTGAAGCGTTGAGCAGTTTCTCCTCCTCTGTGCAGTGCTTTGACCCTTCCACTGAAATGCTTGAGGTGGCTCTGCCCATAGTTTTACATCTTCCAGCTAGATATTCTGAGTCAGGTTTATTTTTTATTATTATTTAGGACAGTATTTATTGTAGAAATTCTCAACAACTCCCTGAAAGGAGGGGGTAGCCAGGGGAGGTCAGACTCTTCTCCCAAGGAACAGGTGATGGGACAAGAGGAAACGGCCTCCAGTTGCTCCAGGGGAGGTTTAGGATGGAGATTGGGAAAAATTCCTTCCTGGAAAAGGCTGTCCAGTGTTGGAAGAGGCTGCCCAGGTCAGTGGTGGGGTCACCATCCCTGGAGGTATCTAAAAGCCGGGCAGACGTGGTGCTGAGGGACATGGGTCAGTGGTGGGTTTGGTCAGTGTTGGGTTGATGGTTGGACTCGATGACCTGAAAGGTCCCTTCCAACCCAGACAATTCTGTGATTCTATGAATATCTTAAAGAATCAGATCTGAGTCAGGTTTATTTTTGTATTATTATTTAGGACAGTATTTATTGTAGAAATTCTCTACAACTCCCTGAAAGGAGGGTGTAGCCGGGGGGGGTCAGACTCTTCTCTCAAGGAACAGGAGATGGGACAAGAGGAAACGGCCTCAAGTTTCTCCAGGGGAGGTTTAGGATGGAGATTGGGAACAATTCCTTCCTGGCAAGGGTTGTGAAGCGTTGGAAGATGCTGCCCAGGGCAGTGGTGGAATCACCATCCCTGGAGATATCTAAAAGCCGGGCAGATGTGGTGCTGAGGGACATGGGTCAGTGATGGGTTTGGGAGCAGTTTCTCCTCCTCTGTGCAGTGCTTTGACCCTTCCACTGAAATGCTTGAGGTGGCTCTGCCCATAGTTTTACATCTTCCAGCTAGATATTCTGAGTCAGGTTTATTTTTTATTATTATTTAGGACAGTATTTATTGTAGAAATTCTCTACAACTCCCTGAAAGGAGGGTGTAGCCGGGGGGGGTCAGACTCTTCTCTCAAGGAACAGGAGATGGGACAAGAGGAAACGGCCTCAAGTTTCTCCAGGGGAGGTTTAGGATGGAGATTGGGAACAATTCCTTCCTGGCAAGGGTTGTGAAGCGTTGGAAGATGCTGCCCAGGGCAGTGGTGGAATCACCATCCCTGGAGATATCTAAAAGCCGGGCAGATGTGGTGCTGAGGGACATGGGTCAGTGATGGGTTTGGTCAGTGTTGGGTTGATGGTTGGACTCAATGACCTGAAAGGTCCCTTCCAACCCAGACAATTCTGTGATTCTATGAATATCTTAAAGAATCAGAATTTTGAGAATGGTGTCCTTTCCTATAGCAGCAAGGAGAACTTGGAGGTATCTAGGTGATGTTGGTGGGTTGTGGCATCACATGAGCAGGTACAAAGCCCTTGCATGAGCCCAACTGTAGCGTAAAAAAAGGGGCAAAAAGTGCTTGTGAAACTGTCCAACCCTGTTACCCTGGGATGTAGGGTCTGATTAGGGGGTGGGGACTGGGAAATGCCTCGTGGGATTCAGCTTAAGAAGGACATGGAGCTGTTGGAGCAGGACCAGAGGAGGCCCCGGAGATGCTGGGAGGGCTGGAGCCCCTCTGCTGGGAGGGGGAGCTGAGAGAGTTGAGGGGTTCAGGCTGGAGAAGAGAAGGCTCCGGGGAGACCTTGGAGCCCCTTCCAGTCCCTAAAGAAGGGGGACTCCAGGAAAGGTGGGGAGGGACTCTGGATCAGGGAGGGGAGCCCTAGGAGGAGGGGGAAGGGTTTGACCCTGCAAGAGGGGAGATGGAGCTGAGCTGTGGGGAAGAACTTGTTTGTTGTGAGGGTGGGGAGAGCCTGGCCCAGGTTGAGAAGCTGTGGCTGCTCCATCCCTGGAGGGGTTCAAGGGCAGGTTGGAGGGGGCTTGGAGCAACCTGGACTGGTGGGAGGTGTCCCTGCCCAGGGCAGGGGGTGGCACTGGGTGGGCTTCAAGGTCCCTTCCAACCCAAACCATTGTATGAAATTTTCATCTGACTTAAGACAGACAGATTGCGGCGTGTTGAGTGAGGTCTTTAATTATTTGGCTTTGATTTCAGGGATCTAGTTGATGAGGCAAAAGACTATCACCTCATGCCGGAGCGGCGGCCGCACCTCCCGGCGTTCAAGACGCGTCCTCGGTGCTGTACGTCCATCGCGGGCTTGATTTACGCCGTTGGAGGACTCAACTCAGCAGGTACCTTGCATATCCGCCCCCCGCAGTGGAGAACGCGGCCTAGTTTGCTGGGGAGGACGAGGGGATGGTGAACTTCCCTCACGTGAAGCGTTGAGCAGTTTCTCCTCCTCTGTGCAGTGCTTTGACCCTTCCACTGAAATGCTTGAGGTGGCTCTGCCCATAGTTTTACATCTTCCAGCTAGATATTCTGAGTCAGGTTTATTTTTTATTATTATTTAGGACAGTATTTATTGTAGAAATTCTCAACAACTCCCTGAAAGGAGGGGGTAGCCAGGGGAGGTCAGACTCTTCTCCCAAGGAACAGGTGATGGGACAAGAGGAAACGGCCTCCAGTTGCTCCAGGGGAGGTTTAGGATGGAGATTGGGAAAAATTCCTTCCTGGAAAAGGCTGTCCAGTGTTGGAAGAGGCTGCCCAGGTCAGTGGTGGGGTCACCATCCCTGGAGGTATCTAAAAGCCGGGCAGACGTGGTGCTGAGGGACATGGGTCAGTGGTGGGTTTGGTCAGTGTTGGGTTGATGGTTGGACTCGATGACCTGAAAGGTCCCTTCCAACCCAGACAATTCTGTGATTCTATGAATATCTTAAAGAATCAGCATTTTGAGGATGGTGTCCTTTCCTATAGCAGCAAGGAGAACTTGGAGGTATCTAGGTGATGTTGGTGGGGTTGTGGATATGAGCAGATACAAAGCCCTTGCATGAGCCCAACTGTAGCGTAAAAAAAGGGGCAAAAAGTGCTTGTGAAACTGTCCAACCCTGTTACCCTGGGATGTAGGGTCTGATTAGGGGGTGGGGACTGGGAAATGCCTCGTGGGATTCAGCTTAAGAAGGACATGGAGCTGTTGGAGCAGGACCAGAGGAGGCCACGGAGATGCTGGGAGGGCTGGAGCCCCTCTACTGGGACGGGGGGAGCTGAGAGAGTTGGAGGGTTCAGCCTGGAGAAGAGAAGGCTCCGGGGAGACCTTGGAGCCCCTTCCAGTCCCTAAAGAAGGGGGGCTCCAGGAAAGCTGGGGAGGGACTCTGGATGAGGGAGGGGAGCCAGAGGAGGAGGGGGAAGGGTTTGGCCCTGCAAGAGGGGACATGGAGCTGCGATGTGGGGAAGAACTTGTTTGGTGTGAGGGTGGTGAGAGCATGGCCCACGTTGCACCGAGAAGCTGTGGCTGTCCAATGCCTGGAGGGGTTCAAGGGCAGGTTGGAGGGGGCTTGGAGCAACCTGGGCTGGTGGGAGGTGTCCCTGCCCAGGGCAGGGGGTGGCACTGGGTGGTCTTCAAGGTCTCTTCCCACCCAAACCATCCTGTGATGGATTCACACACAACACACTGACTTATCGCATCGAGAAGCCGCGTTCCAGGAAGCAGCGACACCAGAAGATGTGACACCACAGGTCTCTGCTGCCCCTTTGAGGCTACAAGAGGTCCCACTTCCACAGCTGAGGACTTGTCAGGTCTCACTGTACAGAGCGTGGGAGAGCTTGGAAACGCTCTATGATCCTTTAGTGTCACGAAGTGCAGTTTATATGAATTTTTCCGAGCAGGTTTTCATGGCAGGCGAGCAGAATTGTGGCTGGGAAATGCTTCTGACTTGACTTTGTGGGATCAGGGTGGCTGGAATGGGATGTGTGAGATCCCAGAGCAGGACAGATGAGAGCCCAGAGGTTCTCCCAGAGAAGAACAGGCAAAATCCTTGCGTCAGGCCCCATCTTCATCTTCAAGCTCCAACAGGGGAGGTTTAGATTGAACATTAGGAAGGAATTTTTCACAGAGAGAGTGGTCGGGCATTGGAACAGGCTGCCCAGGGAGGGGGTGGAGTCCCCATCCCTGGCTGTGTTTAAGGGCCGTTTAGATGCAGTGCTGAGGGACATGGTGTAGGGGAGGACTTTGTAGAGTAGGGGAGATGGTTGGACTCGATGATCCCAAGGGTCTCTTCCAACCTAGACCATTCTATGATTCTGTGATCTTCAGGGTCAGAGCAGCTCCCGCTCACCCTTTTGTGTCTTTGCTATGGGACATGTTGGCTAAAAGAGCGTTTTATCGGGTCAGGGTCAGAGCAGCTCCCACTCACCCTTTTGTGTCTTTGCTATGGGCCATGTTGGCTAAAAGAGCGTTTTATCGGGTCTCCCTCTTTTTAATTTGAGTAGCGAATTTTTACGCAGGTGACTCGCTGAACGTGGTGGAAGTCTTTGACCCCATTGCCAACCGTTGGGAGAAGTGCCAGCCCATGACGACGGCCCGCAGCCGGGTCGGGGTGGCGGTGGTGAACGGGTTGCTCTACGCCATCGGCGGCTACGATGGCCAACTGAGGCTGAGCACCGTCGAGGTTTACAACCCGGAGCTGGATTCCTGGTCCAAAGTGGAAAGTATGAACAGCAAACGAAGGTACGTGGGGCTCATTTATTGGGAAGGAGACCTTTGGGAGGGAAAGATGAGGTGGTAGGATGGCTGGAGGTGTTGGGTGGTGGAAATATTCATGTTTTGGGGAAGGAACATGAAAAAAAAGAGGAGGGGAGCAGCGTGGAATTAGGTGGGATTTGCTTTTGGCCACCTTTGGGGCAGGAAAGTCGTGTTGAGTCCGGACGCTGCTCGCTGGGAAGAAGGGGAAAAAATAAGCAGGTGGGATTGAGCCTGTTGGGCAGGGTGGAGGTGAGGGCAGAGGAAGAGGAGGAGATTTGGTGGGGTGAAGAAGGCAACGGATAGGATGGTGGCACCTACAGCCATCTCATGGGGGTCCTCCTCTTCCTCGCAGTGCCATGGGAACGGTGGTGCTCGATGGCCAGATCTATGTCTGTGGTGGATACGATGGAAACTCATCCCTCAACTCGGTGGAATCCTATTCTCCAGAGACAAACAAGTAAGAGCTTGTCACACCCTATGGATTATCCCTATTTTTGCTTCTAGATTAGATCCGTGGCAATGTTGGGATGTGAAAGGAAGATGGAGAATGAGGTGGAAAACACTTTGTCTTGCCAGTGGAGCAGCATCGCTCCTTCCAGGAGTTTATGTGGATGCAAGTGGGGAAAAAAAACCCCATGGTTTATAGAAAATAGAATCATAAAATGGTTTGGGTGGGAAGGGACCTTAAAGACCATCCAGTGCCACCCCTTGCCCTGGGCAGGGACACCTCCCACCAGCCCACGTTGCTCCAAGCCCCCTCCAACCTGCCCTTGAACCCCTCCAGGGATGGGGCAGCCACAGCTTCTCTGGCCAACCTGGGCCAGGCTCTCACCACCCTCCCACCAAACAAGTTCTTCCCCACATCTCGTCTCCATCTCCCCTCTTGCAGGGTCAAACCCTTCCCCCTCCTCCTAGGGCTCCCCTCCCTCATCCAGAGTCCCTCCCCAGCTTTCCTGGAGCCCCTTGAGGGACTGGAAGGGGCTCTGAGGTCTCCCTGGAGCCTTCTCTTCTCCAGGCTGAACACCCCCTGGCTTTAAAACAGCTGGTGAGAGTTACTGGAAGCCAGACCTAGGAAAATCTAATAAATTGAGTTGACATAATCTGCCTGAAGGACCCTTGCTAACCTCTCCCCTCTCCTGGCAAGGTGGACGGTGGTGACCCCCATGAGCTCCAACCGCAGCGCCGCCGGCGTCACCGTCTTCGAGGGCCGGATCTACGTGTCGGGAGGCCACGACGGCCTCCAGATCTTCAACAGCGTAAGTCTGTGGGGTGGGGGCTCCTGTGAAAAATTGGAATCGGAGAATCCTCTGGGTTGGAAGGGACCTTTCAGCTCATCGAGTCAAACCATCAGCCCAACACTGACGAACCGACCACGGACCCATGTCCCTCAGCACCACGTCTGCCCAGCTTTTAGATACCTCCAGGGATGGTGACTCCACCACTGCCCTGAGCAGTCTCTTCCAACATTGGACAACCCTTTCAGTGAAGAAATGATTCCTAATGCCCAATCTACCCAATATTCATCTACTGCAGGTAGCTGAAAGGTCAGGCTGGGGCTGGGAAGGCTCCGTGCCCTTTCCCTTTGCGCCCAAAAGTGTTTGTGCCACCAAATTCTGTCATTTCCAGGGCCCTTCTTCTTGCTCGGGAAGGAATAAACCAACCGGGAACGCGCTGGGAGCTGGACTGGAGGCCGTGCCCTCATTCCCAGTGCCAAAAAGACCGAGCGAGCGCGTTTGGTTGTCTCCTCCCCTTCCTTCACTTTTAAAAATGGTTTGATCATTGAGCTCTGAAGTATCCCAGATGTCAAACCTCTGCTTTTTGGGCCCATTTGAGGGTTTCGTCGTCAGATCATCCTTGAAACAGATCTCACAGCAGGGGGAGTTGGTGCTACGAGGTCTCTCCCATCCGCTCTGCACCTCGGTTCTCTAAAGGAAAAAAAACCTGGTGGGGAACAGGAAAGACTCAGGAGCAAGAATACGGAGAGGGGGATGGTCATATCTGAGTTGGGTCTATCGCTGAGGCACCCCCTCCCCGAAATTTGTAATAAAGGGTTTAGTTGGGAGCTGCAATAATGTTTTTTGCCTGGCTCAGCAGCTCGGGGGCGGGCTGTCGTCTCCAGCCTGGAGCACCCCAGAGCCAAGAACTACAAATCCGCTTCTCCCAGCACATTCCTGAGCGTCAGGAGTTTGGAGCAGGAAGGTCTAACGGTCTCTCTAGAAATAAGGGATAAAAATGGTGGTTTGTTGGGGGTTCTGGTGTTTTTCTTCCCCCTGAGGTGCCAGATGGCCCTTCTACAAGTAAAGAGGGAGGAGATGTCAGGATGGGGAGTCTCCTTAGGGTTGGGGGACACTCAGGGGATCGAGGAGGGGGGGATTCTGCCCCTCTGCTGTGGGGAGGCCCCCATGGCAATGCTTCCTCCAGCTCTGGGGCCACCAACAGCAGAAGGACATGGAGCTGTTGGATGGGGCCAGAGGAGGCCACGGAGATGCTGGGAGGGCTGGAGCCCCTCTGCTGGGAGGGGGGGCTGAGAGAGTTGGGGGGTTCAGCCTGGAGAAGAGAAGGCTCCAGGGAGACCTTGGAGCCCCTTCCAGTCCCTAAAGAAGGGGGGCTCCAGGAGAGATGGGGAGGGACTCTGGATCAGGGAGGGGAGCCCTAGGAGGAGGGGGAAGGGTTTGACCCTGAAAGAGGGGAGATGGAGCTGAGCTGTGGGGAAGAACTTGTTTGGTGGGAGGGTGGTGAGAGCCTGGCCCAGGTTGGCCAGAGAAGCTGTGGCTGCCCCATCCCTGGAGGGGTTCAAGGGCAGGTTGGAGGGGGCTTGGAGCAACCTGGTCTGGTGGGAGGTGTCCCTGCCCAGGGCAGGAGGTGGCATTAGATGGTCTTTAAGGTCCCTTCCAACCCAAACCATTCTGTGATTCCATAAAACACCACGGCTGGTGGGATCCAAGATGTTAAAGAAGCTTCGTAACAGTACGAGATACGATTTTATTTGCTTGTTGAAAGAGTTTGTGTGGATCCGTGTGGTGTGGTAGGTCCTGGAGAAGGTCAACTGATGTCACACGCTCTCTGTCACCACAGGTGGAGTACTACAACCACCACACGGCTACCTGGCACCCGGTGGCCAGCATGCTCAACAAGCGTTGTCGCCACGGAGCCGCCTCCTTGGGCAGCAAGATGTTCGTCTGCGGAGGTTACGACGGCTCCGGCTTCCTCAGCATCGCCGAGGTCTACAGCTCCATGGCCGACCAGTGGTACCTCATCGTCCCCATGAACACCCGCAGGAGCCGTGTCTCCTTGGTGGCCAACTGTGGCCGTCTCTACGCCGTTGGGGGTTATGACGGACAGTCCAACCTCAGCTCGGTAGAAATGTACGACCCGGAGACCAACCGTTGGACGTTCATGGCCCCCATGGTGTGCCACGAGGGAGGGGTCGGCGTGGGCTGCATCCCCCTCCTCACCATCTGAGAAGAAAGTAGGGTTTTTGGGGTTGGGGACACACACACACAAACCCCTTCATTCCTCTTCTCACCGACAATCCCCGGAGAGGCGATACCCACAGAGGTGCGTTTCCAGGTGCTCAAGGGTCGTTCCCAAACCCCCATGGACACACAAAAATTGACAAAACCACCCCCATCATGGCTTTTTTTTGGGGGGAAAAGGGGGCTAAGGCTCTGGAAAGACGAAACCTGTTGAAATACGGTGTGAGGAAGGACCTGCCCCATCTCCTTCCACCACCTTGGAGCTTCTCCAAGAAGAATCCTTCTTCTTGCCATTGGGTTTTCCACGGAGCCCTTTGGGAAGCGCCGTTGGAGGTTGGGGGAGGCTTCATTGCGCCATCAAAAATGGCCACACAAAAATTGACAAAACCACCCCCATCATGGCTTTTTTTTGGGGGGAAAAGGGGGCTGAGGCTCCGGAAAGACGAAACCTGTTGAGGTTGCGAGGAAGGACCTGCCCATCTCCTTCCACCACCTTGGAGCTTCTCCAAGAAGAATCCTCCTTCTTGCCGTTGGGTTATCCATGGAGCCCTTGGGGAAGTGCCGTTGGAGGTTGGGGGTTGGAGGTTGGGGGAGGCTTCGTTGCACCATCAAAAACGGCCACACAAAAATTGACAAAACCACCCCCATCATGACTTTTTTGGTGGGGGAAATGGGGGCTGATGCTCCGGAAAGGTAAAACCTGTTGAAATAGGGTGTGAGGAAGGACCTGCCCATCTCCTTCCACCACCTTGGAGCTTCTCCAAGAAGAATCCTCCTTCTTGCCGTTGGGTTATCCATGGAGCCCTTGGGGAAGTGCCGTTGGAGGTTGGGGGTTGGAGGTTGGGGGAGGCTTCGTTGCACCATCAAAAACGGCCACACAAAAATTGACAAAACCACCCCATCATGGCTTTTTTTGGGGGGAAAATGGGGACTGAAGCTCTGGAAAGATGAAACCTGTTGAAATAGGGTGCGAGGAAGGACCTGCCCCATCTCCTTCCACCACCTTGGAGCTTCTACAAGAAGAATCCTTCTTCTTGCCGTTGGGTTTTCCACGGAGCCCTTCAGGAGGTGCCGTTGGAGGTTGGGGGAGGCTTCGTTGCACCATCAAAAACGGCCACTTTTAACCACTTGAAACGACCTCCTCGCCTTCCAGCGGCAGCAAAGTGACCCCCCCCTGCCCCCAGCTTTGCGGAGCTTCTCCTCAGAGCTGGGGCCGAGTGAATCCTCCTTCTTGCCGTTGGGTTTTCCACGGAGCCCTTGGGGAAGTGCCGTTGGAGGTTGGGGGTTGGAGGTTGGGGGAGGCTTCGTTGCACCATCAAAAACGGCCACTTTTAACCACTTGAAACGACCTCCTCGCCTTCCAGCGGCAGCAAAGTGACCCCCCCCTGCCCCCAGCTTTGGTCCAAGGCTGATTTTTGGGTGTCGTGATGGGCACAAACCCATCCCAACTGGCTCAATAATACAGAAAACACCCCCCCACACCAAGCAGTGCTTCCCGGCCCCCATCTGGGCTTTTTTTTTCTTGGTTTTTTGGCATTTTGAAGGTTCCTTCTTGCGCAAGCCCTGGCTGGTTTCTCGGAGCTGGGATTTCCTCAGTTCCCCCCCCCGGGGAGGGGGAAAACTGGGCAAGAAGCCGCAGGGATGGAGAAATGGAGGAAGAAGAGGAGGAGGAAAAAAAACCAGGCGGTTAAACCATGGCATTTTTTTGGGGGGGGGGGAAGGAAAAGGCGTCGATGACACTAAACAACGGTCCGAGGGTTTCAAAACAGGGGGGATGAGGCCAAGGGGTTAATTGTAAAGAAATCCCTCAAATGGAAATATTGGGGTGTTTTCCAAACGGGTGGTTGAGAGGCAGCTGGGGGGGGGGGA